GTATTAACACATTAGCATATTATGGTCACTATTAATTAAAAAGATTACAAAAATAAAATTTGATATCTTTCTAATATTATAAATAAATTTAAAACATTTAATTTGTAATTCAGTTTATTTTAACAAATTTAAGTTTTACTTAAATTGCTGAAATTGCTGGGTTCTTATACGAGTCAATATAAATTTTTGGAGAGTATCTATTCTTATATAATTTATTCTATGATTATACTGATGTCTATGGTAACATGGTTATATTTTTTGTAAATACATTTATACTACATAGGTACATATTGGCTAATAGAACATAAATTGGAGAGAAATTCACCTCAAAGTAATCATGGAATAGTAGCTAGTTTTATTATGGGCCCAGTCAAATCTTTTGCTTCCTCCTCTTAAAAACTGAAATGACGCCACTTCTTCAGGGGTGGATAAACTATACGATTTCTTACTATTATTATTATTATATATACCAGTGAAGAAAGGTTGTAGTCCTAGTCCATGCGGTTGTGGGGAAAACAGGTTAAAATCTAATTGAAATAACTAATTTTATTTCACTATCTGTTGTCTCTATTAAAAATAAAGAATAATATGAATAGTGTAGTATTATGATATATTATTGTTTATTGTGTTGTCATTATTTATAATATTATACCATCACACGCCATTTTTCCTGTCACAGCGCGCGTTTTTGCTTAGACTATAAGTAGATACCTAGCATAGACCTTGTACTATTAGACGAGCCATTTGTAGAACGGTCATAGATAGAGGGCGCTCTTCAAGTGTGACTTGTAACTTTCACATGGTATTGTACATTGCACCAGGTGATCCATTTGAGTGGGTACACTCATTAAAAAAGTATGAACTTTTTCCAGAATTTATTTTCTAGAACATTTACGAAACAAGCTGTTCTACAATTTTACACAGCTTGTTTTATTCCATTTCAACATCGACCCGCTCTTATTGATAAACCCTTTATTATAATTTGTTTTTTTTTTTTTTTAAATTATATCAGACAACGAAAACTAAGTATTGCGATTTATACATACAAGATGAATTGTGAGGGCAAAGATGATTATGAATGAATATTATGTGTATCTCAAAGTTTGTAATTTATTTATTTTCATCTAATGAGTGATCTTCGTGTTTAAATTGTTTAGTATTTAATTATAAAACAATATTTTATCCTGAAATAATAATTTGATATTAAATGTAGTATGTACTTAACCTACCTATCTAGCTAAAAAATTATTTCTTCCATACATGTTAAAATTGATCTAATAATTAATATGAATGGTATTATTAAACAAAGCGCTTTTTTGTTTTACAAACTGAAACATATAAAAATCATAACCGATAACTGATGATTCAATTGTTATTTCATTGGGATTAGAGTAGGGTTACCAGATTTCAAAATTCAAAATACGGGACTAAAAAAACGTCTATTTCAAATACAGTGAAATCTCCCTTAACGGACACCTCCATATAAAATAACGAACAAGAATGGGTATCATTTTTTTGAGAATTATGATTAGATGCATCAGTCATAATTGATACAAAATTGCACTTGAGTAAATCTTTTTTTAAAACATTAACAGCATAGGGTAAAAATACATTAGTGACGATAGATTTTGTTTTAGTTCTACCACAAGTAAATTTGTTCTCATATAATTTACGAACTAACTGAGAAGTACAATCCATAGAATTGAGACTTTGACTGTGTTTACAAGTATGATAAGCAAAAATTCCTTCATCTGCAGCTAATTTTTGTTCTTTATCAGCAAATTGTGTTTTTGGAGAAAAAAATTTGACAATTTTTGAAATTTAGACGCTCTAGCAGCTATATTATGTCGTTCCGATTTTAAATGTTGTGTAATATCCGACTTACCACCATGTTCAATGCTGAATGCTGCTCCACACACAATACATTCAATTTTATATTCTTGTCCTGGTTTTTGACATTTTTTTAAGAATGTGTATTCACTTTGTAACTTTNAAATTAAAACTTAACTATCATATTATTATGTTATAAAAACGATTATAGACTAATGTATATTACTGTGGTCTGACCAGACTATGAATTATGATAGAACAGATAAGAATAATAATAATTTTCTTATCGACTAATCTATTTTATAATAATATGCTAAATGGTAAACATAATATAAAATTATAACAATCTATTAATAGAAGCGAAATCGGTATCGGTCATAGACCTATAAAGGTCTTTATAGGTATCTATGGTATCGGTCGGTATGGTCATATGGTTATCTATGTGGCCGACGGGTAGTGATAATGAATAACAAGTAGGTAATTGTTATCTCAAAACGAAAAAGAATACAATATATAATATGGGTACGTATTTTAGCAAACGGGACATTTCAGTGTCCCGACAAGAGTTGTCGGGACAATGGGACACTTAGTCAAAAAAAGGGACATTCCCGTATTATACGGGACGTCTGGCAACCCTAGATTAGAGCCAATCGAAGAACAGGATTTTCATAGGGTTCTCTAACAATGTACGTTTTGCTTATATGCTGGCGAGTGGGTGAAATGAAATAATGGATGGGTTATCCCTATGCACATACCCATATTGCACATACCTTATGCACATACCCATATTGGTAACACAAAGTCTCTTCCATCACAACATGGCACAATAGCATGGGTCATCCATTACTCTATTATCTACAGGTGAAAGTGATTAATCGACCTTGGATAAACCCTCGGTTTAGGATATTTTAAATCGTGATCCAAACGAGAAATTCGGAATGTATGATCGTTGAATTTTACCCAACAGTCGTCAGTTCACAGTGGTGACTGGTGACTGCTAAAAGAAATTCGGACATGTTATTAAAAATACTCATGTTTTATGATATTTTGTTAGACTAGTTGTCCCGCGCCCGGCGTTGCCCGTGCCTATTTTTATTATTATTACTTTACCCATATTCATTTTTGGTTTTGGCCGTGTTCGAATTGAACGAAAACAAATAGATGGAAAGTGGGCAGTCCTATATGTGTTCCATTGTGATATTTGAATAGTGTAAATAATAGTCGTAATAAAAATTATAATAGTTTTATTTGACTCGTTGACGGGCCAGTCTTTGTCTCAACGCATTAGCTCGACGGCGTTCATTGCGTTGCTCTTGACTTTCATTAGTACGCGTGATTGCAGCTTGGTTTCTTAGATTTTCATTGTCCGTCAATTGATCTTCTGCCGATCTATTTAACCGACGATTCTGGACCAGTTGTGAATTCCAAGTCCGCCGTCCAATATTTCCTCCTCGTCCACGAAGACGTGGCGTTGTTTTATGTGCGTAACTTTTTAGAAAAATTGATGTTCTATTAAAATAAAGAATAATGAAATTATTATATTATTTGTCTTTCATTTCATACTTTGTTTAATATCCTAATCGCTTTAAATACCAAAAAAACGAAATCCTATATAACTTAATTTTTTGCGTAACTTAATTTAATGCACGTAAATTAATGCTCAATATTTAAGCAAATGCGATATGAATGAATACGTACACAAAATGAATGAATGAAATGACAGACGTTGTCCTGCATGATATTTCAAGCGATTAGGATAAATTCATTTAAGTCGATCCAACCGTTTAGTTACATTATAGATAAATATTCCGACGGAACATGCAGTTAAAATAGCTGTCCCGCGCAGCGTTGCCAATTTTCTATTGTTTTATTACCCCTATTCCTTTTTAGTTTTTGACCGTGTGAGTAACGAATCAAAAAAAAAAAATAGATGGAAAATGAGTAGTCCACCTTCGGCGGAATAAGTGTTCTATTATGACATTTTTTTCATACGAAAAATAACGAAACCTCGATTTTTTTAATTGAGGGGGGGGGTTGATGGATTTCAAAGAAAGTTAAGCCTAATCTAACTTATCAGAGAGTGGGGACGTTCGACAGTGGGAAAGCCCGTGTACCGTATTATAGCTAATTGTCGTTCGCAGACGGCACGATATTTATTTTATACCTTCATGTGAACATTGGCCGACAATTTATATTAATATAAAGTAAATAATTCAGTTCTAAATCTGTATGTATGAAAATGGATCGATATTTTGTCGGTGCTGCCTTAACTTGAATACCATCTAAATTTCCAATTTTTCCGGTGGATTTTCCAAAAATCGTCTTTCATAATAACCTTACGAATACACGACAAAAAAATCAGGCATATCGGTCTGTCCGTTTTCAAGTTATGTCGTCGGCAAAAAAATATCAATTCATTTATACATACCTATATAATATAAATGTGCTTATTTGCCGATATATTCAAATTTATATTTAAAAAAATAATAACTCGATTGTATCACTCTCTTGGCGCCCTCTGATGAATCTTTATTTANATTTCAATTTTGGGACAACTTACGCGGAATACTAATACTTACTAATTATTTATTTTTTTTTTTTTAATTTCATCCGTATCACCAAGGTAACCCATAAATCAACCAAAAAAAAAAATCGCTGTACTAAAAATACCAATTACTCTGTGTCAACTGCCCTTGCAATGTCGCCTATCGGGTTCAATTGTGAATCAAAACCATCCAGAGACCCATTCAAACACACATAAAAAATGTCGTCAAAATCAGTCCAGCTGTTTAGGAGGAGTTCAATGACATACACACGTATAGTAGAATTATATATATAAAGATATATTAAAATAAACAAAATAAATATTATTATTCCCGCCTAAAATCTGAATATTGTAATTAATGTAGGGGTAACATTATTACAATTTGTTGTAATAGGGAAATGAACGGTCGATACGTGTTATGTTTACGAAAATCGTGAATGTTTACGGCCAACAGTGTCACCGGTTACCGTACAAAATATCTCTAGTCGTTATCGGTTACGAATTTAAAGGGAAATGTTCACCGGTTATATATTCCAAATTTCTTGATACGAAAATTATAAACCACAGAGTTATAAACCTAATAACAATACCTTGGAATATCGTAATCCATGCAAACCTAATAACCTTGGAATAAAAATCGAAACATATTTTCTTCCATGTTTTTTTTTTCTCTTCCGATTAGTTATGACGGCTGAATTTGTGAAGGGTGTAGGAATGCGCAGTCCGTCTATTATTGTCTATGCGTAGTTACCGTTGTTGTGCGTTAACCTATCCATAAATATCTATTATACGGTTATAAACCTATTAAGTATCTACATTAATTGTTGGTGTTTACGTTAAAAACAAATATGAGAGGTTTTATTATAAATTATAGTGGGATTCCATTTGACATGGCTTTAATGTTTTTCCTTTGTGATTTCGTGTGCATGATATTATTATGGAGAGTAATTAACCGCCTTTAAAAACTGTTTACCTTCAAAGTCGTATATTTTTGTCTCCGCCGCCGTCGTCGTAATAAACCCATTTACAATTTTTGTCTTATATGAAACTACGTTACACAAATGAGATCGATTTCATTGTTCTTCGTGTAATCCATGTACGGTACTTATATATTTTAATATATAAATAAATTAAATACGCTGATACTTTTTTTTTTTTCATTTATAATTAACGTAAATTATAATATGTTTTTTTGATCAGTATTCGTATGCAGGTAGTACTCTGCGTAGTACATAGTACGCTAAAGAGAGTCAGACTTTAACTATAAATGTTTTATATTATGTATTTTACTCACTTATTAATTACAATTTATTATTTGATGAAAGGACATACCTTAAACTAACTAAAATAATATTTCTAAAAGTAAGTCTTTGTGATCTTGGTTGATATTTACCAGTTAGGTAGTTATCATAATCGTAGTTGATTATAATAACTCATTTCCAGTACTAAAATTAAATAAAAATAATACAGTAAAACTTCTATACAACGGTCACTGAAGGGACCAGAAATAATGATCGCTATTTAGAGGTGACAGTTCTTAAGAGGTTTCCTATAAGAGGTATAACACTTGACGGAACCAAAAAAAATTGCCCTTACACAGAGGTGACTGTTAGCGGAAGTTATACTGTATATTTAACAATCAACATAATTTATAAGAATTTGACATTATTTTTAAAATATCATGGTTTCCGATTTATCTGTATAACAATATAATTGATTAGTTGATACTAAATCAACAACAAAGTTGCAGTAGGTTGCAAATTACAGAAGTAGATATTTTCACAAATTATTTTTTTATTAAACCTAATTGTTATCTAGGTAAATTTTTTTTTTTTAAATATATTATATTTATTATTATTATTATTAGGTACATATATGTTACTAATAATTTTTATTTTTAGCTATTGCTCAAACCCCACAAGTATTCTGAATTGATATGGCAATTTATTTATCAAATATTGAACAAGATGTTTTAATTTGGACTACTATGTTACTTTTTGTTTACAAGGTAAGGTTTTTTTAAAATCATTTTATTTAATTATTGATTTTAAAAATCAATCGCCAGATCAAGCTCTATCTTTTTTTTTTCTCTTCTTGAATTAATCAAACATTAAATTGTTTGTTTTAATAAATATCTAAGTACTATTTAAATCACTTCTTCCTGATAATATCATAACTGGATTTTCCAACATTCTACGAGTATTTGATCCTGATACAACAATTAGCTTATCGAACATTGTACCAAAGGAAATCTTAATGGGAAACCATTCCTATTGTTTACAAGATAAGATTTTTAAATTTAAATTTTAGAAATCAAGCAATAACAATTTTGTTTTTCTCTTTTTGAATTGATTAACAAATAGGTAGGTATTAAAGAAATAATTTGAATATTTGTTTTACTTTCAATTTATAGATGACAAATCAATTACATATACACTAATTTCCAGGATTATACAATTGGTGGTTCAAATACAACTATATTCCATGCCACGAGAGAACGCATTCACCTCCTGCATTCAAACAATAACATTTTTCCTAGCCTAGTCTGTTAATTATATTGTTGTAATAAGCATGGCTAAATATATAGGTATGATCACAACTTTGCGATACACAGGTACAATGGTCGCCACTGGCTATGATTTCCATTTTATTTCAATCTACCTGGTAATAAATATCACTCCCAGCAGAGTTTTCTCTCTATGAAAAACTATGGAATAAACAGTTATGATCATACCTATATATTTAGCCATGGTAGTGAGTATTCACAAAAATATCCGAGTTTTGGTTCCCTCATGTCACATAGTATTTTATGTTATTATCATATTATTATTTTTACTACTATAAAGAAAAGTTGAATTTTTAATATATGCAAAATTGAGCTATAAGAAGTCGATGAATTGGAAATTGATATTATTTTAACTTTTAAAAGTAAAAATATTTGTTAGTACTTCAATTATTTACTTTATTTTTAATTTTTTACTAATATTGTTTTATATACAGAGTAATTTTTTTATCATGAATCAACAATTTTCTCGGAGTATTTTTAGTGAATTTTATTTTAATCATTTTGGAATCTGTTTATTTTAAAACAGTTTTTAATTTTTCACCCCCATTCCATATATCTTAGATAAGTTTATACTTTTGTTTTTCAAATAGGAATCCCTTTTTTAAACACACATTTTAATAACTAAGAACAACTAGGCTGTTCAAATTATGTTGTAATTTCAGAACAATAATTATTTTTCAAGTATAGCAATTCTCAGTTTTTATACTTCTTTATTATTTATTAATTATTATAGTAGTGTTATTTATATAAAGGGAGGGCTACGACCTGACGATACTTCCAGTCGAGCATCTCACTAGAGATGCTACCGTTGGTACCATGGGATAGCGGAAGCCCACGCTGCCTCGAGCATTTTGGGGTGGCGGCTCGTCACGATGGCTGGCTTCCGGTCTTGGCCTGATTTCATCTGACGGCGGAATGGTTTCGTGGTGGCTGCTACTGGTATGACTATGTGGTTAAAGGCCATGCTAACTCGAGGAAAGCTTTAGGTCGAACGGCCTCGCAAGCAGCCGCGGCTGCGAACAGGGGTATCTCTCTGGAGCCTACTAAGTCTATCATCGGGCTAAGACCACACTGAAGGTTGTCTGTGACCAAAAAACAGAAAGCAGTGAGGTAGGCTGCGGCCGTACCAACTGCGGGGGATAGATGGCGCTTGGCCCTAACCCATTGGTACGCGAGGCTCCGGTGTTTGTGATCCTTAGAATGACACGGGAAACGCCAGACCGGGTCGCCGCTCCAGAAACTCTTGAACCTCCACGCCTCCTAACTAGCCATAGGCTAACACAGGTGTGCGGTTGGAAAGTGTAACAATCAAAAATCGGATTCAATTGTAGCTTACCACAACATAATATTCAAATTAATAAATGAATATAAATCTTTTATATAAAGACAAAAATACTAGTTAGTTATTAAAACTTAAAAGTAAATACATTTTGAAGTCATTATAAATATTTTTCAAAGGTGAAATAATCATTTTTATTTTTCATTAAGTTAATAAATATGAACAAAAAAAAAATGAAAATTCATACTTAATTTTTTGATATTTTATGCTTATTTTAAGAAAAATATAATTTATTTTTGTAATTATGTAATAATATTATAGCAGCCCATACAAGAATCTGAACATTGGGGAGGTTCCCAATTTCCTGATAGGCCAATATTTATTTGAAAAATACTTTTAAAAAATAACTATTATTATAGTTTTGCGTATTTTATTTTATTTTGCAATGTGTACAGTAATTGTTATACACATCGCGAATTGTATAATGTACCTCTAGTACAATCTAGTAACCTACATTGAACAGCAACATTGTACAGTTCGCAATGTGTACAAAAGTCACTGTACACATTGCAAAATGCACGATTCCGGACTTTATGTGTAACATATACATATCATTAATGCATAATTAATGTGGTTTTACTAATTAAAATATCACTGTTACTGAATAAATAGTAGGTAGAATTAGTTAAAGAGTTTTAAATTACAAAATGAAAACAAATTTCCTTGGCATTCTTGCCAGATCATCGATAACGTCTTCTGGATCGACTACATTATAATATTTCTATGTACAACCAACATAGCTAACCCATTTAACTGAATCAGTTTATCAACTGAAAATATCAATTGACAATCTACAATTATAATAAAAGAGTAACCTACTTCAGTCATTGTGGTAGGCAGGATCACAATTTCATTTAAAAAAATTGAGGGTACTGAAGCCTCATACGAAAAAATAACCCAGTTTATACAAACAAGAAATCTATAAAATATAATAAGTATTACTCAATCTTTTATGTTGTACTACAACTATTAACGATTGGTTGAAGAAATAAATTAAAATATGTAGAACGGTTGCTCAGTCGTTGGTTCATAGAAAATCCAAAACGATTTTCTTAAAACACAAAAAATATGATACTAATATTCTCAAAAATTAAAAAACATCTAAAGAGACTTGTTTTCACAAAATACTCATATTTTAACTTTTTTTTGGTAAGTAGGTATTCAGTGAATAAAATCATTAAACTAAACAGAAACACTTGAAAATTTAACACGAGGTACATTATAAGTTGCGGTTAGTGGTCTAAAAAACAAATTTGAGTTTAATGCCTTAGTTTTGTTTTTTCAACAGTGTTTCAAGATCAGATTTTGAACGATCTAGTATTTTTGAAGCTTTGAAAATTTTTCTTTTTCCAACTATTTTTTTCCAGTTCCCTGTTTTGAGTTAATGCAAACTGTTTCATACTCATAATAATAGAATTTTAGAAAATGATTGTGAACATTTTTGATTTGTGTTCTGGATAAGGAAATGTTAGCAAATCCAAATTTTTCTCTAATACATAATCAATTGTATTGTTAAAAACATCCATTCTTTGTGTAGATTTATTAAATCCATCTACAATAGCTGTTATTAATTTAAATAAATAATAATTTGGATGCGTAAGACAGCTTTTGCTTTTTGTTTGTGCGAGTGTAGGCCGAGGATGCGTACCGGCACCTAAAAACTGACTGAAGTGCAATAAATAATTGTATAAACTGTGAGGTGTTTGAATTAATGGTAGGTATGACTATACACATTTTAAAGCCGACATATATATTATCACAGATGGACGGCGAAACTACCGACAGAAAATCGAATTCCCGCCCGATCGATAACATTTCGTAACCAATAATAATTATCGCGCGACGGGTCCGCGGTTGAAAGTGTGAAAAATGATAACATCGGCAACACGCCGTTAGATTGATACGACTCGCTGCGCCAATTTTCCTCTGGAGACCGACAATGATTATCGTAGTGGAGCGCCGCGCACACAAAGCTCACCGTGCAACGCCAATCGGACGGCTCGCCCGAATAGTATTCCGTCTTTTCGCGATCCTTGCGCGGCCATTCTCGTTTTCACGTAGTCCCGCGTTCATTGAGTGTGCTATACCGTATTCCATATTAGTTTCGGGAAAACGTGCAGCGTAAACGCGTCGTTCGTACGCGCAGGCGAGGCACGTGCGTTGCCGCCGGTGAGCGCTGTTGCCGGCCGACCCGTCAAAACGCCGAATATACGTAGTGAGCCGTATTATCGAAACACCCCGCACTCCGCGTATGCCGTACGTACCTATACGAGCTGTACCGCGACACGCTGTAAACACGGCGGCGGCAAACTGCAGCGGCCGCCCAACCGGGACGAGAAACGTCGCCAGATGCCGACAGCCACAGCCAATTACATGGGTCCGGCCGTTCCGGCGGTTTTTGTGCGTGCGCGAGCTTTTCCGAATTAATGTGGAATAGAGTATAATTGTCACCGGTCTTCCAGGTGTGTACCGTTGTCCACGTGAGAAATCAAGCCGTTTTTTTTTCTGTTTCCATCAAACATTTTGAATGTGAAGGACCCCTATATAATAATAAAGTAATAGGAATACAAATGTAATCATTTTAAATATGAATGTTATAGATACCTATATTGGTATCTCTTGGTATGGTTAATATTTTTTGCATTTATTGCCAAACAATATCACCGGAACTTTAAATAGTTCTAAGATAACAAAAATTATAGTTGTTAAAATTAGTGGAATTATTTGAAAAAGTTTAAACGTTATAATATTTATTTCATTTTAAATGTCACATACAATGGTTTAAAGACTGAAAGCCGACCGAAAACTTACTACAAATTTGTACATTATGGATGCAATTATTAGATAAATTATTAAAAAATTTACAGGATGATTCATTCAATTCGTTTTCGAAAAGGAAAGCGTGCTTTCCTTTTTTTGTTTAAATCTTGCATACATTCAAATTCTGATTTTTGGAATTTTTAAATTTAGTTAAGGCATATATTTTGGAATACTTAGATTTTTCATATTTTATCCTGCCGTACAACTGATATTCCACTACTCTCTCCTACCCAAACTTAAAAGTTGAATATCTTGTCAACAGGATGACAGAAATAAAAAGTGTTGACACAAAAATTTATTTAAACTAATAATTCATCTATTTATATATTTTTTAAAAACTTTGTCAGCTTGGTTTCAATTGGCTTCAAATATCTTAAAATGCATTGTGTAGGTACCTACTATGTCATCACATGGGGTTTAGGTCTATTTGCAGTTAGGTTAGGCTGAGCAACAGGCGTCTGATCAAGGAGGAAGTAGAACGTCCATGGCTCTGACCTTCGAAAACTACTATTCTTATTTTGGATAGAGTATAGTTGAGTTGCTAGTGTAGTACTTTTATAAATATATAGATCCAAATGAGATAATAAAACGAGCTTGTATAATATTTGTTATGAAATAAATTTTGTATTTTAATTTTTTTTTTTTAGCTCAAGTAAACCACAAAACGTGTGATTAGACAATGCTTTATACCCCAGGAATTTTAATTTGGATGAAAGTATACAACAGATTATAGTGGCCTGGGGAAGTAGTGGATTTTTCTATTGTACTGCAATAATTACAATACTTTAAGAATCCCATTGCAATGGTTTTCTTACCAAAGAAAGAGATAATAGATAGTAAGTTTAAATTTGAATAGAATCATATGGTTAATGTAATATTAGTCAGAGTATTAACTTTTAACTGTTTGGATGCTGTTAGCATTAGCCAAGGCCTTTTGGATAATGTCGAAAAACCTATAAAACTAAATTAATGATTTCATAGATTCATAAAATTACATTTTTATAACTACACTTCAAGTTGCATTCCATAATATATATTAAATGATTTTGTGCGATATTATATTTTTTTTTTTTTTAAATTACTCTTGATAAACTGGCTAATGTTTATGTAATTACAAAAATAATTAAACATATTCAAAATCCATGGCTAATGTTAAGATAGTCCAGAAGTTAACATAATTTTGTAACATATTAATGTAAGTAATTTTGATTTATTGTATAGTGATAATGTTTCAACAAGAAAGAGGTTTCCTTATATTCCTGTTAAAAAAAAAAAATGAATTTTGGAAAAAGGATGATGTAAGTATTCTTACTTCAATGATGTACTCATATTACAATTGATCTAAAGTAATTGTATTTATAGCCTTATGTTTAAAAGAAAAAAAAGACAAAATGTTGAAATGGTGAATTTTTTAGAGGATGTAATTTTAAAAAGGAATTAATGACCAAATCAATACTTTTAAACTTTGAAAAAAATGTTTTCGAATTATTTCGAAAGATCATAGTAACAGTTTTGTTAATTAAAATGATATTGAAGTCCAAATTCAAAATGTCAGTGGTACATTCATCTTTGTTTTATTTCACTGTTTAGAAATATTGATATTGCCATTAAAATAGTTGTCAACATTTTTTCTATCTGTCTTTCATTGTGCTCATAAGTGTTCCTTATGGTATACATCAAAACCAGCAGTTATATGTTTCGGATATATATTTAATTAACGGTTTTGGTGTATGACATATGTAATGTTCATCATTACCCTGAATGACAGTCAAAGGAAATGTTACCATTATTATTTTCCAATCTATGAATTGTGACCCATCCACTTCCTGTACATTTTATTGAAAGATTTGTTTTTACAATTTAAACAAAATCTTACAATTGTATTATTTAATCTGTCTTTTAATTAATAAGTTTTCAGATTTGTGTTTAATACCTTTGTTATTTTAATACTTCTGTAATCCAATTTGGTGTATACCCTTTACTGAATGTATGCTTATATTTAGATTTGTTTACATTATTATTAACTTTCTTATTTTTGATTATATATATAACTTAAACTTGTTAAACTTAAAATAACAATTTTTTTTTTCTATCTTCAAAAAGTGAACAATTTAATTATTGAATGTTTAGTTATTGTAATAGTTGTAATAAGTTATTAGTTTTGAAATTGAACTGCACTAATTCTCTGTACTTATTGATGTTAAATGTTTGTAAATTTTATTTTTTATTCTTGTTCAACCATGCCTTTATACTACATTAGGTACTATAATGTTTAATATTTTATTTGTTCATATGATCTTGGAATGGTTTATTGTAAAACTCTGTTCCATTATCTGTAATAATTTTGGTTTATTTATTTTTAAAATATATTTGTATTTAAAAATTGTAACTTTTGTGCTATTTTTATTTTTTAATGACTGTATCCATACATATTTAGTATACGTGTCTATTATAATTAAAATATATTTAAATATACTGTTTTTTTTACGTTTTTTTTTGCTAAACCTAAACACCATTTAATTAAATTATTTCTCTCGAATGGAGTTTTTCTTAAATACTGTAAAAAATCTTATATATCACTGATTCTTAAATCAGGTGCCAACTTGGAGCAGTTTTAAAATTCTATTGTAAATAACTTTATGATTAATTAATCTAGATTTATTTTCAATGTAACATTTTTTTTTTTTTAGTCAGGGTTTGATTTATTAATATCTGTTACAATTGAACTATACAAATTATTCCATGTGTTTAAAATTAAGGTAAAATTCTTTATATTCTGCCAAGCAGCTTTGAAGTATTAGATCTAGTTGGATGTTGCTGATCAAAAATGATGAGAAAAATCTCAAAGAAATGACCACAAAGCTGTGTATGTTTGAAATAAATTAGTCAAGATAATTGTTATCAATTATCACTTGTAATAAAGACTGGTAATCCAAACAAATTAACAAGAAAAAAAACAAATCAAATTCTTTTTTTATTTTTGTAGTGTTAAAGATCATTATAAAATTGAATGCGGAACTTGGATAGCTGATGGAAAGCCATTGATCCAGAGTTGAAATAAAACAGGAGAGAGTAAGGAAAATGTTGTAAATGCTGCTGATACTTCTATGGCCTTTTTGACAGTTTATAATGAAGTCTGTAAAGTTGAAGTAGATTCAACAAATTGGTGCATTGACAATGGTGTAACCAAACATGTCACAAATTATTCAGATTTGTTTGTTAATTTTCAAGCATTTAAAATTCCCTGCAATGTCAAAGGAGTTGGAAAGGAAACTCTCCAAGCAGATGGTTAAGGATCAGTTCAGAGTTTTGTCAAAAGTTGATAATATTGAAGAACTGAAATTAAAAAATGTATGGTATGTTATAAATGTTACAAAAGTATTTTCTTTGTACTGGCAGCTAAAGATAGAAATCCTTAAAGTAAATTCTTTTCTACAACAAAATGTAGGTTAATAGCTGATGGAAAGACAGTACTGTGTGGAATTAGTGAAGTCAATGGAATATTGTATAAGGCAATGCTACAGCCAGTTATTCCTGAGAAGAAAATTGAAATAAATGTTGCAGCTATATCACAAAAGATAACAAGATAAAGGGACATGTAAAAAAAATCACTTGAAAAAGAAAAGACATCAAGATCAAGATAGATAGAGATTTGTGAACCATGTGTATGGTAAAGTACATCTTGTACATGTCAAAGTACATGTTTCTACCAAAATAAAGAAGAAAATGGGTCAAAATGCTAAGAAAGGATATTTAGTGGGATAAATAATACAGTTTATATACCAGAAATTCATCGGATTATTTTGTTCAGAGATGTAATATTTTAAGAAAAATTAAGTGACTGTGAAAATAAAGAAACAGATTTGTTAAACAATTCTCTGCATGAAGAATAGGATGAAGATAGACTAGTAAGTAATAACTTACTTTTTTTTTAGTAGTTCATTTTAATAGTTCACTAAGTGCTGAATGGAAGAAAACAATGAATAAGGAAATTGAGTCTCTAAAATAAAATCAGACTTGGGAACTAACAAGCCTACCGAAATGAGTGTTTTGTTTAAAGACGAATCTTGATGGCTATGTTGATAAATACAAAGCGATCTTAATCGTTAAATGATTCAGCCAACTATATGGAATGACTATGATATCAAACTTTTAGTCCAGTTGCAAGAATGGCAACTTTTCCTAAATAAGCATTGCTGCAAGTGAAAATATATTTCTTGCAAAATTTGATGTTTCCACTGCTTTTTTTATGGTATGCTGCATGAGGATAACTTCATAAAACAACCCAAAGGATATAGTGTATACATGGTATATATAAAGTTTGTAAACTTAAGAAAAATTTATATGGACATAAACAATTGATGTTGACATCAAAAGTTTGTTAGTTTTCTTGTGAGATTAGGATTTAAGATCAATGAAGCTGATCATGAGAGAAAAATAGAATGAAACTTTTGCTTGTATTGTATGTGGATGATTGTACATTGCTGGAACTGTCAAACTTGGAATATTGTATTAATGTAAATTGAACAATTGAAATAATTTGGTTGAGTAGACTGTGGAAATTATAAAGTTGTCATCTATTTCTCTATTATAAATTGATAATTCTGCAGCATAAGACTTGCTCAAAATTGTGAGTTTCAACAAAGAATCAAACACATCACAATCAAACATTTTTTAATCAGATAAAAAGTGACTGAAGAAAAGTTGGGGATCAAAAAATTCTAACAGAGAAGCAAGTTGTTAACATTATGACAAGGACAAGATTAACAATTTTTTTCAAAGAAACGGGACTTTTTGAGTCAAAATTTTATTTTATTTTAATGTAACTTAAAAATTATAACTCAGTCCATAATCAAGATGATTATTTTTAAGTTACAGTTTTCTTAGTTCATAGGTAAAAGCCACTTTTTCTTAATGTGTGTATTAATATCAAAGCTTATATTATGGTAAATTTTAGAACTTGTTTAACGAAATTTGAATTGGGGGCAGTTTTTTTAAATTTTATTTTAGTGTTAAAAAATAATATTTCTAACAAATTCTGAACAATAATACTAATAATTTATTCAAACATATATACAATAGAACTAAAAACTTTACAAAAAATCCCCCTTCTTTAGAAAATGGTGGTATAAATTTAAAAGTAACTGTAATAAATTTTATAAAGGTAAAACAAATAGAAATTTTAAATCAAGATACAAAGAACACATTTCTAAAATAAAATTAAAGAAGATTATCCCTAATTAAAATTTTGCTTAACATGATTTAGAAAATATCCATAATATAAGTTTTAATATCGAAAAGTTCTCTGGTAGAAATATCCACAGAAAAAAAAAATGAATGCCTTTGTAAAACCTTAAGCTTCTATGCTCCATTTAGAATCTAAAATTATATGTTACAATGTAAACTTTTATATTTCAGTTTTGTGTTTAATTTTAATTATTTTTATCATCTTATGTTGTTTTCACTCGTGGAAAATATTGGTTTATTCTTCTAATGTGAATGATGTCTTCTTTGTTTGATGTTAATTTAATTTTAAACTTAGATAATTCATTTGTTTTTATTGTGTATTTAATAAATGATACTCTTTAATTTGATTGAGAAATGTATTAGAATTTGGAATCGGAAGCCATAATGCTATATTTAGATAACCAGTATTATATAAAAATATTACAAAATCCAGGTCATGATTGAACAAAACACATGAATATTCGTCATCGTTTTATCATAGAAGATTGAGGAAGGTATTGTTAGATTAAACATACATACACAACATCAGGAGACCAGTAAAACAAACACCTTAATGATAGGATAACCAGTAAATAAATGTAATTATGTTATAATTATAACCCATCCATAAATATTAAGCAGTTGAATATAGTAAGTAATGATATTATTGTAATTTATTTTTTCTGCAATACATATAATAATCAGTTAGTAAATAATAACACTTTAGTAAATAGCTTTAGTCTAGTCTGTTCAATAACCAGAAAAATTATTAAAAAAAAAAAAAAAATAAAAAAACCAACTCTTTAGGTTAACTTATACTAAGATTAACAGAATAAGAAAAATTATCACTATCCATTCTAACATTATCTTATTTTCTTAATTTTAATAGTATAAACTAAATTTTTCCTCTTTATATTTCAAAAAAAAACTTGTTATTGTAATGTAATAGTACCACTTTGGTTTATAAGTAAAAGTAAAAAAAAAAAAAAGGATCAGGTTATTGAATATTCTATACAGAGTATATTATATTCTAAAAAGATCCTTGGTCATCAATAAGAATAATCGAATCTTCTTGCTTGCTGTCTTATATTACTCTGATATCTCAAGGGTTTAGAGCTACATTAAACAAATAAAAAATAAGTACAATTAATAATATTGAAATTTAAAGTATATCATTAGAAAGAAATTAAATAAATCCACACATACAAGAATATTTGACATTTTTACATGTTACAATATAAAAATGTAAAATAGTCCTATTACACAGTATATAAAATAAAATATAGATATAAAATACATGTGTTCCACCATGTTCAAACTTTCTAGTCCTTTTAATATTATATTTTTTTTCCATTGGTTTGGCTTCCAGTGGAACAATTTTTAATTTTACCCCTAAACACGCAGAAAAAAAAAACTTTATATTTATTCACTTTTGTAATAAATCATGTATTTATATCCTATTGATGTTTCTTAATAATAGCTGTTTTAATTTTAAGAAAAAAGTGTAAAAAAATTAATATTCAATAATAATCACAATCATCAATCTTAAAAGTGAATTCATAATCATTTTTAATTTATTTATATGTATATTATAAACGTTTCTCAAAAGAGTATTCTAAAACTTATAACAGATTGACTTATATAATTCTTAAATTAGTTGATAAAATAAATAATTTCTAGAATGCTGTAGGTATGTATGCTGAGTATGTAAAAAAATTCTTGATATAATAAATGTGAATATTCCATTTTAAATTTTACTCTATGGAAATACCTAAACATTTAACATAACCAAGTTTTTTCAAAACATAACCTCAAACATTATTTTGACATATTAATACTAAAGTGCAAATAACAAGATTTATCAAAGTTTAGTGACAATGAGTTATTTAAGAACAATTTTTTTTATAAACAATGTTTAAAACAGGTACCCGATTAAAAACCCTTAATGTACTGATAATTTAAGTATAAAATATTAAAAATTTAAATTGATAATATAATATTAATCAACAGAAATTAATTTTCAAGTATTTTCGCCAATGAACTATTTATACTATTCACTTTGTTGAACTATTCTGAACTGTTTCAGTATCTGTAACTTAACAGCTTACAGTTCAAAAATGAATTAGTAGCATTGTGTTTAATTATATTTTAATATTAATTATTAATTAATTTTTTAATTAACTTTAATTAATTTTAATTAAAATTTTAATTAACAATTATTAATTGTGTTTAATATTAATAATATTATTATTTTAATTATATTATTATAATAATAATATATATCTGTGCCCTGAGAATTTCTCTTAACCATAGACCTCTTTATTAAAATGGGTACTATTAGTAATCAACCTAATAGTTCAATGCCAAACAATCCCATGTGAATCAGTTACCCAACTATGTGAACTTAAGAATAGTATGCATTTTCACACAAATTAACTAAACTTTCTATCTCAACTCCAAATGATCATATATTCCAGTGTTATATAATATTAATAAATGCAATTTAATTACCAATAATCATTATAAGCCTCAGCGTTTGCGGGGTCTTTTACGTTGGGCTCAGTCAGCAGATCATGTATACCAATTAACAGTTGTCTAATTGAAATTGATGGACGCCAATCTTTGGACTCATCCAAAAGAGACAGGCAAACAGTACCTATAATTATAAACAACCATGATTGAAATTATTCAAATTAAAAATGATTGTTATATAAGTCTCAATGACTGTTATATTATAATTTACCTGATGGGTATATATTGACGTGATATAATGGAGGAGTAAATTTGCACTTAGGTGGAGTTGTAGGATAATCATCACTGAATGTCAAAGTTAAGGCGTACTTACCATTTTCCCAAGGAGTCTAAATATAATAATTAATTAATTTAGTATGTAAATATATATATATTAAATTTAATAAAAATATTTAACTCAGAATGCCATAAATTACTTACTATACTATAATAAAACTTAAAAATAATATAAATAATCAATTTACAATTTAGATTTATAATTTAAACCTACACTGCAATTAGTTTAACTTAATCTTGTAGTATAAGTAATACTCAGATGGAACTATATGCAATAAAATGCCAGTGAAAAATTGATATGTAATACAAGGCCGCCAGCAGGAGGGGGGCTGTGCCCTCACCCGCGCTGTAGCCAATTATACTAACGTGTGCCCCCCCTGGAGATAAAGTTCATTTATATTAACAGTTCAGTAAATCGTATAATCCATAATCTTAAAAACATGATGCTATTAATACATTTCATTTACTAACATTTATACAAAATCAATAATTCTGAATTATATTAATTAAAAAACAAATGTAATATACTTACACCCTTCTTTCCTGGTATAATGCATTGCCACAAAAGAAGATTCAATGAACCATCTTGATGCTTAGTTGGTTTGGCAACAAATCCCTACAGTAAAAGTTGTATGATAAGTACTAATTCTAAAATATTATTAAATGGATATGGAAACAAATGAGTGGCCACTGTTTTAGATAAGGGAAGTTGTGAATGTTGAATAGAGGGATAATATTATAATATTTAAGATTTTGATCAACATTTAATATTAAAATTTATAAAAAAAAAATACTGCAATAAACTTTTTAAGCACTTTTGTTTGGTCTAACAATTTTATTAGTTTTATCTGTCTTTATCTTTATAGTTCCTGTTATTTTTTTATGGAGAAACATATTAGTATGGACCTGGAATTTTCACAAAATACTTATATTGTACTTTTCTAAATGTGGTAAAAATTTTTATAATATTCTGGTAATATTTGAGCTATTTATTTAATAATTATGTGGATATAATTGTTTGACTGAATAGAAATGATTTAACATTTTATACACGATTCATTGTAAGTTGTACTATGTAGTAACAAAAAGTTAGACAAAAATTTAAGGCAATGAACTTCTAAAATCTAGCATTGAAATGCACAATGACCTGGTCATTCGCTAATATATGGACATTTTCAGATATCTATGTAATCATATAAGAATGTGAAAAGAGAAACACTTCCATGAATATTATTATCAATTATTTCATAATAATAATAGTCAAGTTTAATTTAGACTTTAGCCATAATAATAATAAATAAAGTAAAAAAACAAAAATGTATAAATTATCAATTTTTATAATAGGTAGGCAAGTTGTATAAACACAATGCTTACAAAAATTGGATTTTTTCTCCATATTCTTCTCTCTTCCATAAGACGCATTGTTGCTATTCCAGCCATTATCTGAAAATAAATGTGTATAGAAAATAATTTAAATAAATTACAAAATTGTATAATTTAAAAGTTAAAAACAAAAGTAAATAAGTTTTTAAAACTACCATATTTAAGAATACATTCGAATTTATGAATAATATTAACTTGAATACAACAGAATGAATAATCAATAGGTAATAACTATGTTAAATTAACCAGTTTTCTGACATTTTTACCAAATATTTATAGTAAAAAAAAAAATCATACTTTTTGTTTTTCCTAATTATTATGATAACTGCTTCAGATATCAAAAAATACTTTCTCTATTATTAAAAGCTATATTTCAAAAGGAACACAATTGATTTTTTGTCATTTTTAAAATGGAGTTATGTTTCTAGTAGAAAACATAAGTTACAAAAATTAAAAACAATAAATTGAGTAACACTTTTATTTAACATTCATTTTTTTTATAATTTAAGTATGATATATCACTGAACAAAAATTGACAAGATAAATCATCAAAAGAAACACATTATACGACATATAATTATGTCAATATTGACATAATTATTAGCCACAAAAACGTATACATTTACAAAGAATTGATAAAACCTGAAATACCAATTTATCTTTGAAAGAAAAATGTTTTTTATATAATTTTTGCATTCGACAGCTAATATATATATACAGGGTGATCAATCTATCATAAAACACTTGTTATCTCGGAAAGTGTCAACTTTTTTCGGAATTTGTTTTCTAGAATTTTTAAGAAACAAGCAAGTTTACAATTTTATATTTGTTGTTTTTTCGTCATCCTTATTTTTAAGGATAAAACCACTACCAGTTTAGATTTTAAAAATCAAACTTTGCTTTTTTTTGATAAAAATTCCATAAATAGTTGTGGTATTAGTTGAAATAAATTTGGTCTCAACATTTTTAATTTCCATCAATCCCTTGACGAGATATTCTACTTTTAAGTTTTGGCTCGGGGTTGGGAGTGATAACTGGTGGTGCATTATTAACATGCAGCGTGCCATACAGCTATAAAATGATATTCCACTATTCTCCTCCGACTTAAAAGTGGAATATCTCGTAAATGGATTAACGGAAATTAAAAATTTCAACATTGAAATTTATTTTAAATAATACTTCATCTATTTATGGAATTTTTAATATAGGTTGCCATTTGAAAATCAAAAGCAGGTAGTGGTTTTACTCATAAAAATAATATAAATTTAAAACTGTAGGGCAGCTTGTTTCTAAATGTTCTAAATGCTAGAAAAAAAATTCCAGAAAAAGTTAATACTTTCCAAGATAATGAATTTCTTATGATAGATTAATCATCTCGTATACTGTGTTATTAATCTAAAATCGCGTAAAAATTTTTCTTTCTTGTAAAATAAAACCCGATTGTATTGTTACATCTGTATAAATAATATATATTATGGGGTGTACCATAATGTACACCGATTTTTCGAAATGCGCAGAATATTTTATAATCCCGACAGAACAAGTCGACCGTTTTCAACAGTGTTCAATGGAATGCGGACAAAATAAAAACATGTGGCAGGATCTATTGTTCAAAATTTTAAGGCCGAAATATCATTGAAACTGTCACGGGTATTCACGTCGTCCGTTTATTTATTACGTTTGCAGGGAACCCTCCACGAACCGGCTCCGGCACAACGACAATAATATAATAAAGACGCCATTAACATACCAATAAAAACGGACGGAAAATATTTCGTTTAACGAAACATCGCACACCGTAACAAATAAATGTACAGTGTTGGGGTATATATATGCGAGGGGGGAAGAAAAGAGAAATCCATTGGACACCTGGTGCGAGGGATAAAGCGAAAAAAGGAGACGCTGTATGTTATGCAGGTGTGGAGTCGTTGTCGGGTCCCGGGCGGCCGTATCCATCATATACGTAAAACCGACGGACGCATATAATGTTAACAAAAATGAAAAGGGTTCGTTGAAAATGTATTACAGTACGAAGCAAGTAAGTGACAATCGAGTTTTATCCGAAAACCGTATAAACTGAAAAGGTTGGCAAAATATAATACTGTTTAAAAACGTTATAAAAACTATTTCATCGATAATAATACCTACTACGAGTCTACGACTAATATACAAGTTTATTTTTAACAACAAGAGCTAACCGACCGCTGAATAGCATTTATTGGCTTATAAAATATAGACTGTATACAAAAATAATATTATTTTACTTAGTTGTTTTACGAAGTAATCAATATAATAATTACAGAGCGGATTATTAGGGTCTTAAAAGTTTAAAATATGATACTAATGTCCTCTAAAGAAAACCTTAAAATATTCTCTTAATAATTCTTAAAAATGTAAAATATTCTAAAAATATCAGTTTTTTAATTTAAAATAATAATTTATAGAATTGTACACAAGTTACAATAAGAAATATGTAAGATAATGAGAACGGATGCAGTCACTGGTGTAGGTAGAAAGTTGGGAAGGTAGGATACAGACAAGAATTTAATAAACCATATATAAATATAGTATTTAATAAACGATAAACCATTGGTAACGAAAAAAAGATTCTGAGTAGAGTTTAATTGATAGTGATGCTTTGTCAACAATATAAATGCTATATTATAATAAAATAATTAAATAGGCTCTATATATTTTTTTAAATAATATTTGTATAATATTATACCTACATTCATTAAATTTTACAATATTTGCATATACCATTAATATTACACTTTATGTTATAATAATATAATAGGTACTCAAACTTGATAATCACCCTTAAAATATGCATTTACTTGTATCATTTCTTTAGTGTATTATTAAAACTCTGCTATATTTAAAATATGTTTTATAATATAATTATGGTTCGGCATTTAAAAAAATAAAAAATAAACTACATTAATGGTGGATTTGAATCTTTTTTATCATTTTAAAACATTTGGTCACATATATTAATAATTCATAGATACTAAATATTGTTGTTCGCCAAAATATCTTTATGATTTTGTTCAGAGAGAAATAGATTAACCAACATTACCAATTTGACTACAAACCCAGAAACTGAATGATTTTTATCATAATAAATTAAATAAATAATAATCATTTTTTCTTACAATGAAAATATCAGAACTCAAGAAATGAGGAGCTCAATATATGATTTTTTATGAATAATAATACAAAATAATAATAATTTATTTTAAAATATGAAAAATAGGCTCAATATTCTCAAATCTTCAAAATATGATCAAATATGCCAAATAATTTTTTTTTCCATTAACTCTGTAATAGATAAATCGTCCACAATATTCATCCTCATTGTACTGCATAAAACCATAAATATGGTCAATAATGTTAAAAATATTTATTTCTAAAAAAATTACCAATTTCTAATAGAACAATAAGCTTGATTGATAAATTACAAGTAAATATTATGAAAAATAGACTGAAGAGACGTGGCGATACTTTTAGGGCTACTTTTCTACAATTTGAAAAAAAAAATAGTAATTGTAGTTAATGAAAAATTTCAAAAAAAGTGATTTAAGTTAATCTGTTAAATCCGGTATCAAGGTTGAAAGAGTAACTGATCATAATTGCTCATGAATGATAAAATAACTAGGTATATATTATGGTAAAGTAAGATGTCGGAAATGACATTGGAATTTTCAATTTTGGTTAATGTTCTTAGCTTGAACCTGTAATTTAAGATGTATGATACTTTTAAAACTATTGAAATAAGTAAATTTCGAATTCAATATCAAAAATATATTTTGTTTTAATTTAGTCGGTCACGCTTTCTGGCACCAATATTAGTTTTAACTAAATAAAACAAATAGGTACCAAATAATAAGAACAAATATTTTAAGTAATTTAACAACATTTTAATTCAACCATTTACCATGATCAAATATAATGAATGAATTTACAGTATACAAAAACTATATAAGAGCTGATTATTATTAAAAGTACCTATAGCACATACAACATTAAAATAATATAATTTATGGTGTATGTATATATCTGTATATTTATTGTTATTTCAATTATCTGAATAGATAATTGTATCTTATATAAACATAAACACAAGAGGGTACACACAATATTAAAATCACAGCTCAGATGGGGAAGTATATCTCAGTTCATGATTAAACCATGACTTATTAAGATAATAAGTGTAAAAATAATACCTATAATAGTGTTTTATATTTTATAATTTTTCCTTTAAAAATTAAAAATGTGGGTAGGTACCTATATAGAAAATGTAAAAAGTAATTAAAATTGATATTTTACAAAGTGATAAGTCACTTTGTAAATTGATGACTTTAGTTGAGCATTAGTACCTATCAGTAGTAGTTTCCTTTGAAAAAATAATTATTCACGAGTTAATACTTTAATGACAATCGATAAATTATTTTAACTATCTAGATTCAATCTTTAGTAATCTCAGTGATGTCAAAACCTCATTCAATATTTAATGAGCAAATCAAAAATAATAATATAGGTATTTTTAATTTAGCTGATTTGCACTCAATAGGTACAATTGAGTTATAAATGATGTAATTAACTTGACTTTATTTTATTTATAAAAATTATTTGTTTATTCAGGGGTGGCAAAGGAAAATAAAACTATTATAATTAATATTATTACTATTATTTACACTATTTAAATTTTACAATAGAATACATTTAGTCCGCCGAAGGAGACTACCTACTTTTCACGTATATATGTATTCGTTCAGTTCTAAAAAGGCCAAAACCAAAAATGAATATGGGTAAAGTATTAATATTACAAATTAGCGCGAGACAGCTAGTACTTTTATATATTATAAATTCTAGTGTATATGATAGTTAAGTGCATTACATAGAGATGAATATCATGGAGAGAGTATGTTTTACGAATGATTCACTTTTGTACCTACAAACTGAAAAAGCTGATTATGGACTGTGGTTGGTAGTGGACATTAACTCAATGATTGGGGAGTTATCAAGAAAAGACATTGGAGAATATGGAATATAAAATACTTATTTTACCTGTAATGATAGAAAACGTTTATTATGTGAAATCGGCGAGACTAGAGAAACTTTTAGGAAACTCTGAACAGGCGAATAATGGTGAGGAGGGTATTATACAAGTATTTCGCGGTGAAAACCATTTAGATGTCACGATATTTAATCGAAGTAACGCCCTTCAAAATGTGAAATAATTTAAGGTGAAAACTAATAAGAAAATGCGGATCTGAGAGTAAAGATCATTCGCTACTAGCGACCGATTATAAAACAATAGTTATACTATTAAAACAATCGCATTTTCTTATTTCGTATTAATAATAGTATACTTACGTTTAATACGCGTAGAAAAACGGCTAAATTGAAAGATATCGCAACGAATCCCAAATGTTTTCCGGTCGTGAAAAATAACAATAGGAAACAGTGAAAATGATGGGCGGTGGCAGATGACGCTAACCTAACAATTTAACAAAACGTTATAGTTTAACGCGTGGGGTACGCGTCAACTACGTCGACTACGTCGGATACGTAACTCGACAGTAGTACCTCTTAGGAAACAATTGACGATATTTTGAGGTTATTCTCAATTGGTATTGTACGGTCATCAGGAACCATTAATGGGGCGTAACCGTTTACCACCAGTGACCAGTGGCCATCGACCGCCTCCTTTACACAATATCAGTTTTACACCTCAAATAAAAAATGAATATATTATTTTAGATAAATACTGTTCGAGAGTACTTAAACCGAGATTCACGATGACGAACGCGTCGCAGATAGAAAACAATAAACCGATATGGAAAACAATATTATGCATAGTCTGCACAAATGCAGTGATTTTCAAACTTTCTTTCACCTCGGCACACTTCACAAACAGTAATACATTTTTTGTTCGGTCATTGTTTAATTTGTGAGCAAAACACAATTAGAACTAAAACCAACATTAACGGGTTGTACTCAAACGAGTCATAATCAAAACAGTGTTACGACTTTACACTTCACGTAGGATCACATGGATCGCCGTAACCGGTGGTCTTTCACAAATAATGGATAATACAAAAAAAATATATCAACCCAGCGGAATCCAATTTTAAAACCACTGTAGGTACTACAGTACCTTGTATAGTCTCTATAATACCATATCGAGCATTAGATTATTACAATTTAACAATATTATTATTTACAAGGCCGGTGTTGTGATTCAACAGCTGCACTAAAACGCGGTCTGCCAGTAGGGTTACCGGTAACCAACCAGTAGGTCGTTCGCGAACGTTCTCTAGGGGTGCCGCGAAAATTATGTAGAGACCAACAGCAGCTGTACGATGCGTCGTGTTTTTAAAAAAAAGTCTGGGGACCACCGGCCTACGGAATGATTTCCTACTAATCCGACCCAAAGATAACCTAACCCAATCGGAACATAATTGTGTAGGCATGTTATTCCGTAACACCTACACCGCGTAGCTATATCGTTTTCATAATTTATATGCGTTGCCAGATTTAAAATTACAGTAAACCAGCACAATATGCCCGCCGTTTTCTAGTTATCACTTCAATGTTTTCTGACATAATTTTACAGAAAAAAAAAAAAACAACGTAATAAACAGAGTAAAATTTCGCAAGCGGCGTCCACTGACCGAAGCTTTCCCGTCAGTGTCCGCGGCAACAGGTCCCGACGAATTATTGTTAACATTAATAATATGGGGTAGAAGCCGGGACATAGGGGTTATCGGAAAATAACTAAAATAATACATCGATTTTTTTTTTTTTTCGTTTTTTATTGACGGAAAACGTAAACTCTCGTTAAGAGATATCGTTCGAGAGTAGACGAAAGCGATCAAGTAATGTCGAAAAAGAAAGCAAACGGTCGAACCATAAACAGAGCCACGAAGCCCATCCGAACAAGTACTGCCGCCCGTGTAAATGTTTTTGCCGATTATGTTATATTGTTTTCAATAAAATTATAAATATCGTTAATTATTAGTTTATGAACCACTGCTTTGTTTCTCGTGGTATGCAACGCGCGTGAACATTTCTGGGAAGCGAGCGGTGTACAATTTCGTGTACTACCTAACCTAACATCGCGGCGGGCAATATTCGTAGTACATGTTGGGATGAAACTCGTATGCACGTGAAATATCACTCGAAATACCTACCACTACAGTACACCAGGTACTACGATAACATCGATACCGAGCAGTCCCCACCACCCTTTTTTTTTCTCTCTCTCTCTCTCTCCCCATTACAAAAACCCGTTTTTACCAAACCCATGGCGATAGGAATTTAACACTTTCGTATTTATATTCCGGGAACAACGAACAATACGAGAATACTATACGATCGACGACTGGGTTTTATTATACCCAAACCCTTCCGATGGCGGAGGGTGGGCTGTTTTATTACCTGTGAGGATAATAATCGCCAAAAGGTACACACCGATCCGCGTTACCTATTATTTCCCATCGCAGTGTTCGTTATTTATTTATTTATTTTTTTTTTCTTATAGGCACGCGGACGGTATTAACACGTTATAAACCAGCATCAGCTACCTCGCCGTATAATTGCCCGTTGTTCGGTTAGGTATCTACACGCGACACGGTGTTGACCCAACCCAACCCACGGAATACTAATTATATGAGAACCGTGAGAACGCGTCCACGCTATGCCGAATAATGGCGTCGTCTCGATCGACTTGTCGACAATACGCGTGGACCGGTACACCGATACAATTATGCCGGCACGCGTACCGAGCGTGTTTTACCAAAACCGCCGGTTTGCTTTCCGTTTATCAATGTTTATTGTTGTAAACGCACATTCAATCGTTATTGATCGCCAATAATATCAATCGGTTGGGTCCCCCCCACGACAAAACATAAAACGACGAGACGCATTGGATTTAAAAAAAACCCAACACCAGAACGCAAAATGTACTCGGCAAAACGGAATGGAAATGTTTGCGTTGGGTTTCGTACAATAGCGGACGAAGTTACGCGGCAACATCGGGTCACAAGCCGAGCGACACGCACGCTACCGCCGCGTCCGCGCACCGCACCGTTGTCGGTACGGTTCTCCCGGCACGATTCCGTGTCCGCGGCGTACGGCCGCCCGACCCGACGCGTTTCGACAAGCCGGACGAACGGCCGCCGCCCGGTGTTTGCGAAACGGAAAATCAATCGGGCGGCGCGCGCCGCGGAAGGGCCGAAAACCTCCCCGGGCGGGCGGGCGGGGGGGGGGCACATTCCCGAACGTCCATCGCGCGGCGACCGACAACGGGCCGACGTCCGGGAAATTCGCCGAAAATATAATAGCGAAATTAACGGCTCGGAGAAACGCGGACAAGTTATCAATTCCGAGTGCCTGCGCCGCAATGGCGTGTGCATGAATAATCCGCCCGTTCACGACCGAACGACAATTACGTCGACGGGCGGTCGGAATACCCAGAATACCGTGTCGGCAAACGACACTATCGCCGGACGGTAATACAATCGCGGGCGAAACCCGCGATCGCCCGGTGTCCCCCGGTCGCGCTGCGACGGTGTCGTTTGCTACTGACCGCGCACGTCGAACGATTAATTACAGACGGTTTTGCCGGCCCGCTGCCGCTACGTGGGAATTTCATCCGCGATACGGACGGTAAGCGTTTGGGTAACGAGTGCGGCGCGACCGGCGTTATAATCGTTTTCCGACCGCGGTGGTGCGCTGCTACGCGGTATTGTGGAACGCGAAGTTATTGGTTTTGAAATCGCTTCTTTTTTTTTTCTCTAAATAATAATTCAATGTTATTCTTATTCGAGTCGTAAAAAACGAACAAAACAAATCGGACGCTAAAGAACCGTGCAAAAGGCGCGACTTATCGTTTTCGTCTTTAGTCACGGATATGGGACCGGGAGGGGGGAAACGAAGGGATCGACGCCACCCGCCAACAAGTATTTGATGCGTATTGCGTAGTTAATATTGTTTTTGGCTAATGTCGCTGAAAATCAACGATTTCAATTACGATAATGCATTGCAATATATCACAGAGTAAAGGAATGAGCACGGGAACGAAAAAGTCATTAGTCCCTTCCCCCCACACACCCACCCACACACAAATGTCAATCGTGGCGCCCATCTTTACGCTTCGACCGAAAACACACGAGTTGGATAATATCAGAGCAGCAGTTTGGAATTTATTATACCTGCGGCGGGGACCGAATAAAACGAATCACACGGGGCGGGGTGTGGGCGCGAACGGGAATCGCCTCGGTTGCGAAACACTCATCGCTGGTACAGTCGTTTTGGTAGCGTTGTTTACACGTTATTGTTACCAACAATCATTGTACAACAACCAACAGTAGAAATAGCACGGTAGTCGATCCGGAAAGGAAAAAAATCGTACACTCTCGGTGGATCTCTACCGTGCAGAAAAAAAAAAAAAAACAAAACGAAATCGGCCGCCGTTACGGCATTTTATTCGCGTTCGAAACAACGCGTGCTCGTGTCTTGATACGTAACGCGGGTAAACGCAACCGTGATAATACGCGGCGGTCAAATGGGACGGCGAGGGATAGGGACGGAGGAAATGGTAGGTACACCGTTTTTCACGAGAGAAAGACGGCGTCGTTTCGCGCACGCAGACCGAGCTACGGATCGCTGGACCCCGGTCCCCGGTGTGTTGCGACAGGGAACGACCGGTTACTACTGCCGCCGACTACGCGGGGTGCTCAATTAACGAACCGACGACCATTTCGAGAGTCGGAATCGGACGAGACGTTCCCTGTGATGGTGTGTACAGTTGGAGCGCATCCCATCGTATTCTCCGTTACGTCATCTACAACACGAAATCTATACCCCAAAACTTCCCCCCCCCTCTTCCTTTTTGGCGCGGTTAACAAAAATTCCGACCACAATTACGGAATAATTGAAAGCGAAAAATAAAAAAAAAAAACAATTCAAAAATATTGAGTAGGCATACAGAATATTTGCCGTGCGCTCTTCGCGAACGCGCGTTCGTACGTTGTACCGCTACGTATACACCGACGCGTAATCACACCGCGTGCGCGGGTCGACGGCGGCAGTCCGCAAAGTTTTACACCTGGCCCGGCGGCGGTGGAAGCCCCGGGCGAGGAGCGGCGTGGGAATGCGTTAGAATGGCCGGTTTTCGCCGGGAATGCCTCGGCCGTTCTACCGCGAACAATGGCATAGGTACAAAAATACGACGCATGTCGCGTTCGAAATAGTTCGGGAAAAACGTGCGGTCATTCCAGAAAACCGAGAGTACCGTAATATTCTTCGATTATTAAACATCGCCAGGTATATACATAAACAAAAATTACGCACTGCCGAACGAGATTAAATTCGGATATCTGTACGTACCCAAAAATTCCAACGTTATTAATAAATCGTTATTTTACGACAACACGTTTCCGGCAAATAGGTAAAATGCCGAACGAAACAACATTGCCTCGCCAAAACCAATTCGTTTTACTGCGGACTTTTATTATGTTGAATTACCATTGTAAAACGATACAGATATAAACCATTGGGTAAAATTATTACCCGTCGTTATTTATTCAAAATTTTAATTGTACATTCATACCGGCCAATATTAAAAACAAACAACGCGCCAAAACGTAAAAAGTAGGTATACTCGAATAATTTTAAAAACGTCCTCTGTCCAACTATTTACAAATAATTAGGGCTTTCGGTTTGTTACATAATATTCCCCGCATAGAAAATACACGTTTAGAAACCGAGAGCCGTTTACATGAAAATTAGGAAGGAGAAAAAAAAGAAAAAAAGGCCGTTCGTTACGATATCGGTGATTTCCTATGTTTGACCGGTTAGGTCACTACGTAGGCTTGCTCGTTTTCCACGTGGTCGTGAGAATTATTATTCAGTAATAGTATAGGGAGAAAACCGATTCAAAAATCATCAAAACGAATTTTTACATTAATGCGTATTCACGGCGGATAATTATTAATAATAGAAGTTATAATTTAACATCGGCTTACCACGTCAATTCGACTTCGTCAATTCGATGATGCGTTTGATAACTTGGAAAACTCGGTCGTCTCAGGATGGAGCGGTTCAAAAGCTTTTGTCACAATGCAGTAGACAATGGACCGGTTCGCAAAACAAGGCCGCCCGGCGGTGTTTTATGCGGAACTCTGTGGAAGGGGTTGACCAATGGCATTAGCGTATCGAATTAACGATGAATTGTCGACGAGAAACACGCGAACACAATCAAAAGAAAATATCAATCCGCCTACCTTGTGTCTTCTACACCTGTGTCCGGGCCGTCGTTGTTTACCCAGAACACTTCCGGAAATGGTAAAATGTACACGGTGAGAACGGGACGAATTCAATAGGTATGCGAACAATAAAAACGTTTTCGGGCGGATTACGGACCGACCTTTTACCCGGCCACCTACCGCGATGTCGAAATGTCGCCGTTAATTGTACAATTTGAAATCGCGAAAATTAACCGCTAAATATCGCAAAATATGTATAAAATGTTAATTATTAATTTTTTATGTATTTATATTCTATCAGTACAGTATCACGAGGCCCGACGGGAGGGGCGGTCGGGGCTGCAGTGACCAAAGCGACCAGGTCCTGTATTTTACCTAATTTTTACATTAACGTGGAAATTATTTGTGGTTTGATTTCGCAATACTTTACTTTAGAAATCAATGTATAATTATTTTAGCTGTCCCGCCCGGCGTCGCCATTGTCAATTTTTTGTTATTATTATTATTATTTTTTTTTCACTCATATTCCCTTTTGGTTCTGACCGTGTTGGTATTGAATGGAAACGAATATCTACGTGGAAATCGGGTGGTCCACCATCGACGGACTAACAGTGTTTGTGACACTTTTTCATGGTTTTCATATCAAAAATATCTAAACACCGAATTTTGAAGGGAGGGAAGTGGTAGATTTCAAAGGAAGTGAAGCCCAACCTAGCCTATCGGGGAGTGGGGAGCGCGTGTAGTTATCGTATTATTGTTGTCGCTCGCAGACGGCGCAGCGTTCATTTTGTGCGTTTTTGTCTACGATTTGTACAATTCATAATATTAATAACTCGATTGTAAATCTATATCCATGTAATAATTATGGAAGAGCGAAAACGGAATTTTTCCGTCGCGGATTGGCCCCGTAACCACTCATCCGATCGTCGTGTGGTGTTTTTTTTTTTTTAAATAATAGAGTACAGTAGGTACAAGCGCATAGTTTATTGCGATTTTTTTCATCCATGTCGCCAACCTTTTAAATTGTTTTTCATTTCATCCGTGTTACTGGGGATTAACACATGACAACGAATAAATAACATATTTATACATTTATGCGCGTATTTGTCGATTGTTTAAAAAACTAATAACTCGATTGTTAATTAACTTATCGGAAATAGGCTGAATAACTTCTCCCCGATATATCTACTCAATATCATGGAAAAAAAAAAAAAAACACCAGCATGACGTAGTGGTTTCGAAGCCAACCCGTCACAAAGATTTCCGTTTTTCGCTTTTTTGTATTATGTAGAACGTAGGTAGATAAACGAGATAGATAAGATTAAATGTTTATAACACAGCATCTAATAAAACTTTGTACCGTAATATTATATGTGTTAGTAACAAGAGGATTTGTGCTTAGGAAATAACTCATTTAAATACGATTCTATTTGAACAAAATAAATTATACAATTAATACATAAAATATTGAACTAGAAATAAACATTAACTATGTAAAAAAATTATTTATTTATTATTAATTTTTTTTTTTTATAGTGTTGTCTGCCTAAATATTATTATCCTTTTATATTCCGCAGCGTAGCGACGGAGCTATTGGTTTTACTAAAATGTTTATTTTATTTCTTTTTTTTCTTTGTTCTAGTCTGTGAACACGTTTTTTCCTAGTAAATGTGTTCCGATTTTTACGTGTAGCAAATTTTCTGAAAGCTCAAGTTGTGTATATGGTACTTTAAATTGGTCATATTTAGATTTTCGACGTCATTTTTCAAATGAAAGCACTCAAGTGGGAAAAAACGTAGGAAAACGTACAATTTCACGATTTCATTATTTTATTAAAAAAGATTTAATCGAAAAATAACAAAATACCTTTTTTGTTGCCTTTTTGATTTTATTTCCAACGGTGTCATCACCAAACTTTTGAGCCACTTTTAAGCTTTTAAGGAATTTTGATTTTTGGGAGTTTTTGCTGTAATTCGATTAATAATACGTAATACACGTAAAAACTTGAAACATTGTAATAACACTTAAATTGGACTTATCTAGACGTGGTAAAATGTCCAAAATCATCGGACGAATTTTTTTTTTTTTATAAGCGTGTTTTGAAATAAAATTTAAACGAAAATCGCAAAAAAAATTACGGCATTTCAAATAATGTATTATCAAACTGCGCTCGGAATCGTCTTTCGTCAAGTAATGGTTTATCGTTGCTTACAGATATAAATGAAAAAACCTTATGTATCCTACCTTCCCAACTTCTCGCCTACAACAGTGGCTGCTCCCATCCCCAGTATCAGCTCTTTTTTTTTTTTTTCCACATGACACCGAACCGGAGGGGTGGGGGAAACTAAAGTATTAGTATCTACCAGAAAATGAAAAAAAAATCATTATATTAATTTACTTCAAAATTATTAAAAATATAGACATTATTTTTAGATATCTACTTTATTGAGTTATCTTAACCAGTGGCAGGTATAGGGGGGAGTGCCCAAAATTGTTCATATTAAATTTGAACAATAAACACTAAATATAAAGTACAGATAAGATTACAATCAAGTGTCAACATTTTCGAACTACAAATACAATACAACTGTCAAGGGGACCCGGGCCTTCTCGCCCCCCTCCATCTTGAATCCATCACTGATCTAAATTATCATGTTATTCCCAATTGTCCGTGTGTTCCGTGCACGATTATGCCCATCACTGGGGGGCTCACCAAGAGGCATCGGGACATCCCGGTTTCCCAGGAAGTTTTTGTATTTTTATGAACTGCAGTAGAGTTGAGTTGTTATTCGAAACGAAAAAAAGACGAGATACAGGGGTCGGGGCGTGTAAACTTTTTTTCTGTTAACTAAAAATTAAAACATGTGAAGTATCTTATACTCAATTTTCAAACATAAAAATTGAAAGTGTTATGTGTTTTTTGATACAAAAATGTTGTAGATTTTTGTGGTTTTGGCGATTTTTGTCTAAATGTAAAAATAAAACGCTGATAAAATGTTTTATGAAATAAAAATAAACTCATTTAACATTTATCAGTATCAGAAATGTATAAGAAGGGTTTTATTTAATTTTTTACGATTTTCCAATGAGGCAACAATTTTTATCGACGTTTTACGAAAAAAAAATACTAATAAAACATGAAAATTCAATATTTTATACATTTATAATAATAAAAACATCCGCTGTGATGCTTCATAACAAAATTATAGATTATAAAACTCGCGAGTGTGTATCAAAGGTTGTTTTTTATCGCAGTTTACTTCTATCCAAATTCCAAACGGATACAATTCGTTTACACACAGCGCGTATTTACTTTTTTTACGACTCGTTTGCGTACACAAAGTTTAAGTCTAAATAATATAGGTATGGCTGGTTTAGGCATATTTACCTTTTTACGATTCGTTTGAGCACAACAGCATATTTTCGTTCCAAACCATAGGCGGAGATTGGGGGTTACTTGGAGGGCTTAGCCAGTGGCGTGGCGAAATGAAATATTTTATCGGGCAATTCATTTTTTTTTAATGACCCACCACCCCTCGACTCTTAGGCATTGATCATTATCATTACCCATGAATAAATGTACAGTATTCTGGGCTGATGGATTTTCCTAGAATACTTATTATTAATTTTATTATTCTTATTTAATATCATATGACATATTCTGATGAAGTTAATCTTGTACTACAATTTCTCCACAGACTCCAGTATTCAACCACCAGGCACCCACCCACCCACCCACCACTTATAATTATCGGGCAATCGTCCCTCAAAATCACGGCCAACACGCCACTGGGCTTAGCCCCACCCCCAAAAGACCAGATCCCCCAAAATTATTAAACATTTTTCAAAGTATAAAATAGGTGCTAATTTTACAACAAATGCCAAAATCTTGGAACTTAACAAAATATTTTTTTTCTTGAAATTTTGTTGGTAAAATAACTATTTTTATTTTTATATTCGTCATCAGTCCGCACCGTTAAAAATGGTTACGTACGAGTATGCTGTAAGAAAGATTTAATACCTCTTCAATATTATATATTGAAAAAGAAAGTAATATCAATGTTGAGAACATTATTGATATACTATTTGCTAGGAAAATAGATTAAATGTACTGAAATAATAAAATATGATGTATTGCATCAAAAATTAATAATTTTCAAAGTACATATGTAGTTAGTAGTGCGCATTCCAGTAGTTATCGCGTATTGTAGGTAATATTGCGATTAGCGGGTGCGTGTGGGAACAAAGCCCCCAAAGCTTATTTTGCAAAGAAAGATTAGGCCCCCACCTGAAATTCAATCAAATATCCGTCCGTGTTTCTCATTTTAATATAGGCTTAAGTCGGGGCTATACACCGCCTATTACGCCGTGTTTCGAAACCTGCGTATTTCGCGGCGATTGCCGTCGAATTCAAAATTCATTGGTTTATATCGGGAGTAGCTATACACGAGACGGATGTAATACGCCGCGTTTTCATCCGGGGCGGAAAACGCCGATCGAACACCGAAGTAATAAAAAGGCAAAATCTTAATTTTACATTGTTTCAAATAAGGATGGGCTATAGTGGTGACGGAAAACTTAAAATTCGTGTTACCAGATTTAAAACTATCTACATTTATGCACCGTTTACTTCGACGCGTTTTAAAAACATTACAAACTCGAATATCCATACTGATATTTTCGTAGTTAGTAGTTACTAAAGTACCGTTTATTGGCGAACAATTGTTTAAAAATTTGAAACTTTCGACCAAACTACATCTCTAATATGATTAATACACGACGATTATTTTTGATTGATCAATTTTTATATTATCCGCTTATCTATCTTATCTCCTTAATAGTATTTAATGTTAACATTTATTTATTGATTTATTTGAAAATAAATATAA